CACTTCCTTTCCTATCTTGTTCTCGTGTTGGTTGACCTACTTTAGCAAAGAGCTTAGATGCTTTTCTTTGTTTCTCACACTGTTGTGGCCAGGGCAGAAAATCTGCAAGCTCTCCTACTGTATTTCCCCCCACACCCCCTCTCCCTCCTGATCCAGAGGGATGGCAGCCGAGTCCAGCATAGTGAAATATGCCAGATTCAAGCTCACTGCCCCTGCAAAATCGCTCCCGCCGAGTCTCACAGAACCGAATTCCGGGGGTTAAGGAGCTTATGTCTGGTGTACGACGCATGGAGAAAGGGACTGAGCGGTGATTCGCCATGGGAGAGGGAAAAGGAGAGTGAAGACTGTGTGTAGTGTGCATCTCATTATGTCTGAACTATGTGTTACCTTTGGTAAACAGTGGAAAACATTGCTCAGGCGAGCGTCACTCTGGGAGCAGCAGGCTGGTAAACGACAGCGGCCCAATAGTGGTGCGCAGCCATTGCTCAAATCTACAGCCCTACAGGGATGCATGAGTTTGGTCATGATTAGTCAGATAGAATAAATAATCTACGCTTATGACAGCACGCTTTATTCCAGAGTGTTGAATGGATGCCCCGTTCAACACTTTTGTGTTAATACATTCCCTCCAGTTATTTTTACTGAATGACCTTCTCAATCAGGAGAAAAGTAAAAAATTAAATTTCTGAGCGAGGCATTCATTATCATAGCTGGTTTTGCTCAAGGGTACCTTCCATTTACAATACGTTGGAGCCATGTGTCCAATGACTGTCATTTCATGGCATTATAAGGAAATCAACAAATTAGAGATTCATTAAATAGCTTGAAGGCATTTGACAATATTTTTGTAAATAATGTCACAGCAGCAAAGACAATAGAACAGTACGACTATAGCCAGCATGGCATGAGAATGACAACAATTGAGATCTTTAAATTAGCACCTGATGCTAATCCTTGCCCTCAGCTGAGAACGTTTCGATTTATTTTTCACACAACCACATTGGTTAGACGTTAGAGCAACTGTTGTTTGCTGTGCCCTGAGCACTACTGATATTTCTATCTGCAGTCATCTTCCCAACTTCCAATTGTTGTGACGTTCCGCCAGTCTGCACTTCTGTACTGTCATCCTCTCATGTGTGAAAAGCAAAGGGTAATTAAATCTTCATTCCTTCAGCCCCAACACCATATTCACATCTGTTGAATTGGAAAGCCACACAGTGTAAAACATATCTACTTAAGTCTATGCCCCAGTGACTCTTGTTGTAGCGTCAAGGAGCATGGGAAGCATTTGTCGTCCTTTCCTCTAACAGCATAATGGCGTCTTGTTTTCATGTTATATGACCCTCTGTGAATTCCGTAAATCAGGCACTAATTACAACGCGCAGTGACCTGACGGCTGAAATGTCTTCCACGGGCTAATAGACAGCAGAGTGAATTTTGTGTCCAAAATAGAGTGCTTCAGCAAGCCGTAAGCATCTCAGTTAATTAAGACATGCTGACAACTGGTGAACTCCGCACATCATTATGGATCCGCTGCCTAATTGGAAAGTATGGTAACGGTAAACGCATTTTTCTTCACTATTAAGTAGCTGTACTGTCGCTGCAATAAACCACAGGGGAAACAGAGAGGTAATCCAAAACGTGTTCCTTTTAGGGAATTAGTCCCCCCATTGGTGTAGTAGCACCCCAGGGGTTCCTAGTTGGACCCCTGATTTAGTTTAATTGGCATAAATTCCCTTACAAATTTGGAATTGATCAAATAACCTTTGGGGTCCTTAGCTGTCTGAAAGCGTGGAGCCAAATTGCTTGTTTTGCCTGCTTTGCTCTTGGCATGATCAGAAGAACTCAAGTCTTACCTGCCATGGACTTTGATGTCAGAAATGGCGTAGAAGTATCTGGTCAGTTTGTCCTCGTCCACCATGGTAGCTCCTGTGGCAGGCCGCAGCAGACGGATTCTCAGGTCTGTGATGGTGAAGAAGTCCCGCAGATTCTTGGTGGTGTCCAGTTGGCCATAAAGCGAAGCCATGTTGTGGAGTCGGGGCCCAGCAAACAGCGCAAAGCGGTCCTTGATCTCAAAGCGCACCGTTTTGTCATACTTCCACACGTACCCTCGTGAGTAGTCCTCTGTGCAGATGATGTCCAGCAGTGTGTGCTGAGTCAGGTCCTGCACCGTCTTGGGCTCCATGGTGAAGGCGTCCAGACAGTCAGTGGCATAGAACTGGTACGGCTGCCAGGTTCTTCCATAATCCAGAGACTTTTCTAGGACCATCTGCTCGGGCCGGCCCGACTCAAAGGTGAGGACGATGTCATCAGTCAGCTCGATGGTCTTGTTCCATGATAGCGTGATGTTTACCAGAAGGGCCTTTGGGTACTTCTGCCAAGATGTGGACTGCCAGAAAGTAGTGGGATTACGGCCCTCAATGTCAAACATGAGCTTTGGAGGGTGGGCCAGTTCCTCTGTGTTGGCGTCACATTCATTGTTACACATGTAGGGGTTCTCCTACAGTGAGAGCAACACAGAGAAGGAAGAAGACATGTTGTTAATCTTTGCAAAAAACAAGCAAAAAGGTTATTTTCAGTCAGATTTTTTACTTCACAATGTAGGCATCATGTGCATATACATGCTCTGCTGGGCATAGTATGCAGTTACATATACATAATCAAAACCCATGTAGCTATGTTGTACATCAATCTTTGAAGAACATGCCAACACCAATGTTTAACTCAGTTAATTGTCACTGTCATTGGAGTGCTTCCTCTCTGTTGCATTGTTACATCCTGTCACTACAAATGTCACACCCTTCCCAGTCCTGAAATGAAGATGTTGGTGCAGCATTCTAATGTTGAAAAATAAATATTGTGACCACAAATGAAATAGTAAACTCATCACATAACATGAATAGCCAAGTGATCTCATTGGTATCTGTTCAGACTGTATCTGTGTTCTTGTGTCTTATTGACCTTTTCCCACTTGATTCAGTGACACTGAGCACATTGACGCCTCCAAACCATAGACCTAAACCTTGTAGACCATTTAATCGGTTTCATCATAACTTCTTTAATTAAAGAGTTCTATTTTAATGCCTTGTTTCATAATATAAATGGTGTTTTTTAGAGTTTTATTGCAAGCTTTTTTTTAGATTATTCACGCTGTTTGCTTGAAAGAGATATTTCCAAAAACATTTGTCCGATTTACCACAAATCATTACAAGCCAATGTTCTCTCCTTGCTCCCTGGGGGCTCCATCTAGTTGTCAGGGGGAGGAGGCACTCGTCCACGAGGACCTTTCAAGTGCTACAAGCGCCAATTTATCAGGACAAGATAATCCACTACTTGATTAGGTGGGAGATGTCACCCTGTGTGTGCCTGTGTGAGTGTGGCGATGTAGTGAGGACACAGGGAGAGGATCAGGCCTCTGATGTAAGACAGTCTAATGAAGCGTTGAGGCAGAGATCGAGTAAGTTAGAGGGAGAAACAGCTTCCATTCGACTAATAAGCTTCGCAAGTTTTTTCTCATCCTCCAAGGCAAGGTGACAATGAAACAGGGCTCTGTCAGGGCCTGTGACTGTCGGAGGGGCCCATTAATATCCTGTCTGGACCGTCCCCTACAGGCTTCTCCCGGCTCTGGACAGCGGTGGCACCGAGGACACGGCGGAAGAAAGCAGACTGACAGTGGAAAATTCCATTTTGGTTTTAGTGTACCATCTCATGGTGGGAGGTTAGGTGTGCCATTAACTGCAGCATCTGGTGCGCCATGTATCTACAGACAGATGTGTAATAACTCATATGAGACAGTTATGCCTGCTTAGGGGGTGAGCACATCTCTAAAAAACACACTTGGCATGCAGGAGGGCTCACTGTGTGTCTGTGGCTTGTTGGAAATGTGCATTTATCGAGGGAGACCTAAAACTGTTATTCAACAACGGCGGAGCACTCTGCTCAGAGCACAGGTGTAGACTTGGGGGACAGAGGAAGTTATGTTGCTTTTAATTCCCCCATTAATATTGTTAAGTATACTGTATTTCTACCACACCCACTGACTTACTCCTACTCACATGCACTTCCCCTTTTTCTGTAGGTAATCCTATTAAACGAGACAATTATATTTCAATCAATGCAATTAATGTTGCTCGACCGCTTACTTACTGACCCTTTTTCGTGCAGATTTTTCTACTGTATTTGTTTAATTCTTATAACACTCCTGGAAAGTAAGAATACCTTAATGTCAAAATATACTTCACTACAAGTAATTCATCTTTCACTAAAATTAATATCTCCTTAAAGTATCACACTTTTAACCATGCTGCATTAATGTACAGGTGGACTCAAAGTATCAAAAGTAACAAATACTAGCAGGATGATGCCGGTAAATAATGTTGTTGTATAATATATTATTTGACTATTACATGTGTCAAAATACATAAAGATTTGTATTGCTGTTGCAAGTTCAGGTTGGGCTAATTTTAGGTACCGTAATTTATATACTGTTTGGGAAATGTATAAAGATCATATTTTAAAATTACATTTCGGTACAGTATATTAGGAAAATATACTTAGATACTTTCCATCACAGCTTATAGGAGATGCACCTACGCCTCCATCAACCCATCATACTCAGAAACCTCTGAGCTGTAGCCTTGAAAATTAAAGGCAAGAAAACACCACATGTCTTTATGTGAGCAGGTTTATCCGGTCGGAGGTTAAGCTTTTAGTACCGTTATGTCTGAATCCGGCAGATACAGTGATCAGCTATTACTGTAACACCCACACACACACAAACTGCCAGCACATCTCTGTAATCAGACAGAGATGTATCCCTATCGATCGCTGTGGCCGAGCAGCTGAAAAAGTGCTGCGTGTTGCACCTGGCAACCTCGGCCATTTGTCCAACTTTGCCCCGAACACACAGGTCACAAAACGTTCATTACTGTCTCCTCTGCTTCTTGCCTAACGACACAATCCTGCCTTTATGAAGATCAATAACCTCGCTGGTCAGAAGAGAAAGGAGATGAAACGCTGAGTACGGCCTCATGCAAAATCAATGGCAGATTTCTGTATTTTACTACAGGGCGCCGCTGAGGTCTCTGTCAGCCGATTAATGGTTTGGCACACATTAAAGTAATTGACAGCACCCGGCACGGCAACGCAGCATTTCTGTAATTACAAAAGATGTTTCTATTAATCCCAGTGTGATGATAAGTGGTCAGGATGGGGGACAGCCATCGCGGATTACAAAGCCAGCGCTGAAGTTGCTGGAGCGGAGAGGTCACGCTAAATTGGTGCTAATAGAGATGTCCACGACCCACCCAAAACACAGAGGCTTAATCCGATTATTAGCATTGTGATGCAGTGAGATAGAGTGCTAGAGTGTGTGCAGGTGGGTACTCATGTAAAACCAACATGAACGTGGTTGTTGTCGAATTTTACAAATCTTCGGGAGCTGCTCTAAATTCCATGGGTGTTGTCCCCATTATTGTCGAACTGCTCAGCCTAATTTTAACCAGCCCGGCGAGAGGAATAAAAATCGACAATGCAGCGACGTTGAGGATAATAAATTAGACTAATTCCATTCAGCTGCACGCCACAGACAAGCACTATTTGTAGCGTTGAGGTCACGGGGAAGTGGTTTCCTCTTGCCTCATTCCTGAACAAGGCTATTAGACATGTTACAGACTAATTTGCCTTCATATTACTTGTCCAAAGCAATTTAAAAACACAACAACATTTGTAAATCAAGGGGCTGTTTCCAGCTGCGTATTTCAGGTTTTTTACAGTTTATTTTGTCTCTGCAACTGCTACAATTAACGAACCATTATAAAACATGTTCCACTGCTGTATCTTCTTAACTTATCCTTTAATTAAATAGGTAAAGGCACTTGAACTCCATCTACAATTATTCTTACTTTCATGCAAATTCTCACATTTTCTTATGACTAATTACTTGACTACAAAATGTGAATAACTACATTCTTGGCATAGATAACATGCTGCATCTTGCGTGCTTAGGGATGGTTGAACTCAATATTTGAATAATATATTGTAGGGCCATACCTATATAAAACATGTCTGTGAAGTTTTTTTTTCAAAATACCAAACAGATCATGCATTTTAGCCATGCCTCATTTTGCTCTTTTCCAGCCCTGTTTTTGCTAGTCTTCTTTGCTGCTTTTGTGGCAGACTACAGCGCCACTTACAGGCCTGGCATATGTACTACAGCGTCTCCAGCGCTTTCGAGCGGCAATGGCTGTGGCCCAACCCCCCATTCCCCTGATAGGTGGAGAGTTGGCCATATAGGCGGAGCACCCCTTTGCTGACGTCAGAACAATTTAAAATCTGGATCAGTCTGTGGCAGATCCGTTGCGGCCCCGTTTTTAGAGATTTGGGAAAAAAGAGAAAGGGTTGTGTTTTCTGACACTTTGTGAGTTTCCTGACACACCAGGGAAACATATTCATGTATAAAAGACGTACAAAACTGCATTTTGCAAGATAGGTCCCCTTTAATGAAACACTACATAACTTGAAAAACGACACAGTTGTAAAAAGTATGAAATTGTGTTTTGTTCAGATGTCAAATATGTTTACCAGATTCAACTTATTTGAGTAGTGTTAATGTTTTGTCTGCACGTGTTTAACATTTTCTTTTATTCGTCAAGATTTCCAAAGAGACGGGCAAAGCGACTGCTGACGTCCAGGAGGAGGCGTCGGCCATGTTGGAGGAGATGGCTCACTCTCTGCAGCTCAAAACCGTTCGCTTCTTTGCCTTCTCGCTCTGCAAAGTCTTTAAAACCTTGTTCAAGAGCATCTGTGTCAACGAAGAGGGCATCCAGAGGGTGAGAACACACACCTGATGGAAGCTGAAAACACTGTTAAAGGTCTCCTATTATACTGTTTTTCATCAATATATTATAGGTCTCAGATACTCAGATTCCAAAGTGCTGATTCTCTGTCTGTTACTTTAGATGAAAATAAGGAGCCCCTCCCCACGACCCTCTGAGAGATATTTGGTTAAAAAGAACTCAATGGTGCTCTAGGAGGAGATTCAGGTGATAAGGTGGGGGGGGGTTACCTTGGTTGCTGATTGGCTAATGGTTACACAAGCCAAAAAAACGTTATGACATCATAAAGTGGCCAAAATCTGATCAGCTCATTTTCAGACCGGTTTTTATAGAAATGGATCAGGACAAAAAGTGAGAGAATCTTTTTTCATGAAACTTTCAGAGTCTCTTTACACAGAGGGGACACATGTTGATGTAGAAGAGACATGAAGAAGAGGGGACACGTGTTGATGTAGAAGAGACATGAAGAAGAGGGGACACATGTTGATGTAGAAGAGACAAGTGGATTTTGCATAATAGGTGACCTTTAAGCTGAAACGCATACAAATACACACCTAATCTGTTATTTTCCTCGTTGTTAGCTCCAACAGGCTATTAAGGAGCACCCGGTGGTCCTGTTACCGAGTCACCGTAGTTACATGGACTTCCTGCTGATGTCCTACCT